AGCTTATTCTTTGAAAGTAGGGACTTAACACCTTGCTCGCTCATATGGCCAAACCTACGATGCCACAAACCTGTATACGTCGTGGTTCCAGTCACATAAATAAATCAGTCATTTCATTAATCAGATGAAGAGTGTCTTAAATGTTACCCTAAGACATCAGTATTGCCCCTTCGTCACCTTCCACGAATTAACTGTGAAAGTCCCGACTTTGTTAGCTGGCTCATAGAGATAAAATTTCTCTTCAAACTTGGAACATGTCTTACATCAATAAACTTTCAGACTATTCTATCCGGCAACTTAATATCAACACCGTCTTTCCAACTATACTACAAACCTTGTTATCTCTTAAATAAGCTTTCCCTAGATCACTCTGAGTATAGGTTTTAAATACCACTTTATTGAGGCAAGCATGAAAAGAGGCACCTAAATCCACTATTCAAGATTTAGTGCTGAGTAGGGATAACACCAGGGAGTCATTTTGGATTTCACTTATTGAGACATTAGTAGAAAAACTACTTTCCTATGCTCCACCACCATCTTTTCTTGGAGCTTTGCAATCTTCCATGTAATGCTTTTTCTTACCACACTTTCAGCATCATCCTCTGCTTAACTTGGGCTTTCTTTTCTTGGACTTGGATCTACCTCTACCTATATTCATGTCCAGATTCCTTCCCTTGTTATCAACAAGTTGGCATCAATTATTAATTTCACATGTGTAGGATATCCACTCGACTAGCTCGAGACGATTCATAGCTCATTCATAGCATCATGCAGCTCATGACATGCTACACGTGTATTCCTTTTTATTATTTAGTTCATTCACATTATTCACATAATATCTTGGCGTGCAAGTTCCACTTGTCAAAGCCCTTTAACAAATAAGTTTATTTTGTAAAAAAAATTTTATCAATATATTACATTTACTTAGCTTCAAATCACGTTTATAATAGCATGGCATAATGTAAAATGACTCGAAGAACACATGGGCCAATTGAAATCCATCGGTTGGAGAAATTTAAATTCTTATCCTATATAACTTTTCTTATTCTTTGTTTTATAAGAATAACTATTTTTAATTTGGCAGCAATTTAGATTTAATTAAAACAGTATTTATCAAAACTGATAAATTAGGATTTATTAAATTCAATCACGGACGAAGGAGCTTGCGAGCAATGAAGGAATAAATTCGTCTTATAATTGATTTTATTAAATCTGAATTTACGTCGTAAACAGAGTCGAGAAAATTTGATTTAACTGAATGGTGAATTTGTTTATTTATTTATTTTGGCTAGATTTAAGTTAAATTTGTGCTTGAATCCTACCAGTAGTAGGACTGTCAAAAAAGTTTGTTGTTCGCGAACAGTTCAGGTTTGATTCGTCAATGAGTTCGTGTTCGATTCGTTCGATAAGTAAACGAGACGAACGTGATAAATTAAATGAGACGAACATGAACAAATTTTTTTTGTTTGGTTAAAACGAATCAGACACAAATAGTGATGTGGTCGTTCGTGTTCAAAACGTTATTGTTTGAAATATAAAATGATTTAAAATAATTATATATATAAATTTTATAAATTATAATATATAATAAATTAATAATAATAACATATTAATATCTTATATTAGTAATATACTAATACAGATATTATATATTTATATAATATAACTTATATAATTAATATAATATATTCTTTATATATATATATTAATATTAGGGATTGTCATCCACGAACAACTCGAGTTCGGCTCGTGTTCGGTTCGTTCGTTAAGAAACGAACACGAACACGAACAGTGACTTCGCGAACAATTTCAAACACGAATTTATTTCAAACAAACTTTGCGTTCGTGTTTGGTTCGTTTACACCCTTAAACAGCAGGATGCACTACTAAACACCACCATGAAAATATTTTAGCGCTTGGGTGAATCTCTCTATCAAATTATCACGTTGAAAATATGTAGCAGGTCATGCAATAGAGCGAAGAAAAATGCAAGTACTATATATTTAAAATATATTATTATACCCATATTTTAATATGCAGCAGGTCATGCATAAGTGCGAAGAAAAATGCAAGTACTAAGATTTAAGATATATTATTATACCCATATTTTCGCAAGCAGTCTATTTGGTCACGTGAATAAGGAAATAAATTAAAGAGGGGCATTAACATACAAACCACCCAATTCCTCTATATTTACACATCCAATATCTAAATTTTACTTTTTATATTTATTCCACTTAATAATCTTTCTTATCACATCAAAAATACCACTATTTTAAATTTTAAATATTAAAACATACCTCTTTATATATAAAAATAAGGGTATATATATATATATATATATATATATATATACACAAACTTTGTATTTTGTGTCGCTCGTCGTGACTCTTTGGTTGACAGCATTGCATAAGTCCCTTGGGTTCATAGATTCGATTCCGCCTATGTGTGGATGAAATAATTAGACACATTAGGTTAATCTGGGGGCTCGTATGATGGTCTCAGGCCAATCTTTAATATATATATTTACACGCATACACTGTATTTTCTTATCTTGTGGCATATATGTGCTTTATTACTATTTTTCTTTTTTTTTAAGATTTACATACATACCACTTAACTTTTATGTACTTGTATAACCCATACCTAAACTTCAATATGTGCATATGAACCCACTAAATATTATACAATGGCTCTTTCGTGCAACCAAACTCTTGTTCCTTTTTCATAGCTATCATTTTCTCTCTTTCTCTTATATCATCATATTTATGTGTTCGACCTAAATTTATCAATGAATCACGTCCAAGAAATAGAGCGAAAAAGTTGAATGAAAAAGAGTGAAAGAGTACAGAGAGACAGATTTAAAAGTTATGTATTATGGTCTTAATTTCCAACCATCATCATGCTATATTTATTGTTCCTCTATTTGTAAGCAACCACATTAATTGTTAAATTACTAGCATGTCCATACCATTTTTCTAATCTGCTTTTGGTCCAATAGATATGTCCCGCAATTTTGAGCATCGATCAAACCTGATTAGCTTTTGATCGGTGATCCATGTTAGCCGTCTCTCGAGTTGACAAGCTCTTTCTTATCTTGAGCAATCTGACCTACTTGATTCTCCTATATGACCAGACACATTTTCTTCCTACACATTTCTCTTTTAATTGTGCTATTAAATTGATTTGAGTTCACTGGCCGAAACCAAAAGTTGCCCACGAAATGAACCGTATCTGATTCATCCACTCTAATATTTGTTGATGTGATATATCGCTCGACACAAGAACTTATTTAATAATACATGAATTTAATATTTTAAAAATAAATAAATATGAGAAATAATTACTTTATTTTATTCCCGACTCTCATCTCCCCTGCTTCATCCCCTCCGAATAGCTTATTTTAATCCTGTTGTTGCCTTAATATGACTGGATTATTTACGTGGGGTCCTTCAGAAAGGGCCCCGAGTTGGAAAAATTATTCCATACGGATCGGACACCGCACGCAAGGTGATTTACGGTCAGGATGTATTTCGGTGGGTCACACCTAAAATTTAAAAAAAAAAACTGAAATAATCCTGACCGTAGATCACCGTGATCTACGGTCAGGATCGGACACCGCATACAGAGATGCATGCAGTGTCCGTATGCAATAATTTCTCCTCGAGTTGGACCTCGCTAGGCATCTTCACATAACATTTATGTATTTACAAATCGAACACAAACTTTAATTTTTACATATATGTATGCATTAAAGTATGTATTTCATATTTTTAAAAGTTGATTATTTAGTCACAATTCTTTTGATGTTATTCGCTTGTCTACTTAAAATATTCTATTTTGACTATAATTTTTCTTAAATTAATATTTGAATAATCTTGATTTTATTTTGAAATAATTTAATTTAAATATTGTATAAAGAATGATGCTCAATCAAATGGATTATCTATTACCATACCATTGCCTGTGTTGTTGGCCACAGCGTCGGATGATGAGCCAGTGTCAAGATTGCATGAGAATGTTTGAGAAGGTCTTAAATATCGGCGAAAACTCATGACATCCAACAAGAACTAGAAGAGCCAAGGTTTTTAACAAGATGAGCAAGGACTAGGAGAGAAAGAGATTTAAGACAATCGCTCTGTTTGGGTGAACCGATTTCATGGAATAATTATTCCGTGCGTATATCGATGCATGAAGTGTCTGATCTCCACCGTCCATCAATGATTTGGTGGGATTTTTATTTTTTAAAAAAAAGAAAAAAATTGAAAGTGGATCCCGCCAAAGCCGTGATGGACGACGGAGGTGTCCGCACGAAATAGTTTTTCGCGGGGATTTGGAATTCATTAAATATGGGTGAATATTCAGTTTCTTTAAAAACCAAATTGCTGAAAAATATTCAAAACCCCTTAAAAACAAGTTATTCTAAATTTATTATGTATTTAATATAACACATAAAAAGCTTAAACTTTAAAATGGGGCCACTAAACTTTAAAGGAAATGTATTCCAGAAATAACAACGCACCATCTGTAATATCAAAGATCGCGTGCTAGAAGGGATTTACATGTGTTTGATAAATATTTTACTTATTTAAATATCAAAAAATAGTTTTTTTAATATTTATTTAAATAATAATATATTTCTTAACTACATTAACATTTTGGCCATTTACATACATACCACCCAATTCCTATATATTTAGATATATAATCCCTAATCTTTGCTTTTAATATTTATACCACTCAAATCATTCATATCACATAAGGAAAAATCACTATTTTAACTCTTAAAAATGAAATATATGGCATGTATGTAAGAAACTAAACTTTAGTTATTAGATATGTAAATACACAAGAACTATGTGGCATCCATGTAAATCACCCTTAAAATTTCCAGTAGAAATAAAATATACCAATTCATGCAAATATTCCTACGTAAGCAATAGCTTCTGGGCCTTATAAATTCAGGTAATTTCTGTATTTGTCACATGGGAGAAGTCATTACTCATTACCCAATCGTTCATCTTCTCTATATTGTGAGCAAAACTGGTTCTGTGCCTCACCTTCCATCTGCGGAGTCCCCAAAAGAAGCCATTAAATTGCCTTCAGTAATTGCGAATTTAAGCTCTCTCTCTCTGATGATCTTCCTGCGCTTTCCCTTCGTCTTCCCTAAACCCTAAAAGCCATCCGAGACGACTCGCCATTGAAGGTGAGCTTCGCTGCCTTTCAGTTTCATCACTCTTTTTTTTTTTTTGGTGTAATTTTTATTTTATGACAAAACGAACATGCAGAATTATATGTTTATCGGTTCTTATTAAAATTTCAGAAAGATTAGATTTTTAAATTGTATGATTTTAGAAAGATTAGATTGAACCATATTGAACCACACTTAGGGCCGGTTTGGGGCAGTTTATTTGATGCGGTGGCGTTTTGAAAGTGCACCTGGCCTGTTTGCGTAAACTGTGTTTTTGTAGGTGCGGTGACATCTTTCTGACAGCGGTCTGACTTTTTCAAAAAAATAAAAATTTGTATAATCAACACACCTAGCTTATCAACAGATTATTTTTAATCAGCTTATCAGCAGATTATCCAATAAGCTACAGTTGCCCCAAACTGACCAATAGTTAAATGATTATAGAAATCAAACCAGATTGGTTGGGTTGGTTTTCCTTCTTCTAGTTTGATTTGGTTCAGATAATAATAGGATTCAATTTAGAGCTAGACCATGCATCTCTCTGTATTAAGGTCGGGCTGCAACTATTTATAAAAAGTGGTTGTAGAAATATTTGAAAAAATAATATATTTTTTTAAGCTATTAGATGAAGACCTTTTTTACAAATATCCCACTTTAACAAATACGATTGTAGGCAACTTTTTCTCACCATATTTTAGTAGATCTGTAAATTATAAATTCATTAAATTTACCTCCCACTATATTTAGTAAATATGGATTTAACTTGAATCTAGACCAAAATTTGATACCTTAAATTTGAAAATTTATAAATTCAAGGAACTCACACATTTTAGTGTTTGGCTGAATTTCACAAATCAGTTGATAAAACCTATTAAAAGGTGTTGTCAAACTCTCCCGTTGTAAATATTCTTCCCTAAATTGTTCATTTGAAATCGGAAAAACTATTAGGTGTGTAATCTGAGAGAAAATATTACGTCCGGAGTCCGGACATATACTGCCAGCAATTTTTTTTTATGAATTGCTTTCTTAGTCATAGTTCCAACAATGCTTTCCCAAAAATATTTTTAAAAAAATAAATTCCAAAACTAACACAAAAACTGTCTAATTTATCAACAGAGCATACACTTCATCTGACTAACTGTTTTTACCACCACTAAAACAATAAGAAATCAACTTCAAAGTTTTAAGAAAATCTCATTTGCTTGTCATCTCTTCTCATCATTTACAGCATTATATAACTTGACATTCTACCATGGGAGACAAGAAACCCTATGTTGCCATCTTAGTCATCCAATTGATCTACACTGGCTTGTACGTGATCTCAAAGGCTGCGTTGGATGAAGGACTGAGCACATTCACATTCATTTTCTACCGCCAATTGGCTGCCACAACTTTACTTGTTCCACTTGCCATCATTTTCGAAAGGTATAAATTATTATTATTTTTTTTGTAATTTTAATTTTACATTAAAATTACTGATGGTGATGGTGATTAGGAGAACAACATCGAGACTTTCGTTTTGCCTCTCGTTGAAGATCTTCATGCATGCGTTGATTGGGTAAGAGCTAATCTTTTGATGAAATTATTGTCATTTTATGTATACTAATGTTAATGAGGAAATTGATTTATTGACCTTTTTTTTTTGTCTTAGAATAACTTTCAGCTTAAATATTTACAATGTTGGCCTGAAATATACTTCTGCAACAGTTGCCTCTGCGGCGACAAATTCCATCCCTGTAATCACATTCTTTTTAGCGTTGATAATGAGGTATGTATGTAATTTATTGTCGGTGATCAAGAACAGTCCTTTATACGAGAAATATTTGTGTACGTAATACGCACACAAAGCTGTGTGGGTAATAACCCTGCAATAACCTCCACTTCGCAGTTACTATGGGGTTATTAGGAGGTTATTGAGATATTAATTCCAATGACTTATAACCCTAATAACCTTCCATTAACCTTCGCGGTTTCTAGTTTGATGTTATTCATAGGTTATTATGGTGATATTGTGGGGTAAAGGAAGTACGCATGTAGAATTGCTTGCGTATTACAGACACAAATATTTCTCACTTTTTAGAGGTTGTTTGTTATCAATTTATCATTTTTTTTTAATTTTGTATTTGTTTATTGTTTTATTTATATTTTGATTTGATCCTTAACATAATCGAAAAAATAACTTTATTTTACAGGAAAGTCATCTAAAAATTATTTTGAATATTTTTAAAAATAATTGATTTATTTTTACAAATGTAGATCAATATATATACATAAAATACACTAAATAAATTTATTTTTAAAAACAAAAATAAAAGTCAAATTGATCATAAAAAGAACCCTTACTTTCTTATAGTGACATGAAACAAAATACCATGAATTGTCTTTCTCAGTATCTGTTGCTTTCACTATGGCTAACATTTTAAGGTTTGCCCACAGCAAAATTCATTTCTAAAACCACATTTCATGAAATAAATAAAAAAATCATTCTATAAAATCAAAATAAATTTAGTAAATTTTATTAAATTTGCTTAATTCGAAAAGTAGTTATTCTCTAAACATTATATTGTGCAGACACGTTTTTCTCCTGCAAATTATTATTATTAGGTATTTCTCATCTGACTCAATCAATCAAGGCCAACTAACAGCTAACCACAACAATTCACTTTTGCAAAATATGACATGAAGATTCTTCAAATCGTATTAAATTCCATGACAAAGGTTGCATTTCTGAAAAAGAAAAGTGGTGGAATGTTGGGTGGAGAATCAACATTCTTTTTTCTAAAGCACTAATCTCCTGTCCAAGCAGTAACCTTTGGGTCCACCACAACTCACCATTACTAGTGCAGTTACATATTCCTTATCATTTCTTCCAATTATGTTTTAATAAGCTGAATGCAAACAGAATACTATTTCACTCATTTACAATGGTTTTCACGCCTTAATTTCCAGAATGGAAACTCTGAAGCTTAAGAGCCTGACAGGGATATCAAAGATACTGGGAGTAGGAGTATGCATGGCTGGAATTATAACTATGGCCCTATACTCTGGGCCTCACCTAAATCCTTTGATAAAGCACCATTCCCTAAGCCACAAAAATAATGCAGATTATAGCTCTTCACATTCTAAGAAGAACTGGATAAAAGGAACTTTTTTCTTAATTACAGCAAACTCAGCCTGGTCACTTTGGATAGTGCTTCAGGTAATGAAGCATGCTTTTACAAATCATGGGTTTTGGATCAATTCATAATAATTTTATATTTTGCAGGGGTGGTTATTGAAAGAGTACCCTTCCAAGCTTCTCTTCACAGCCATAGAAAGCGTTTTTAGTGCAGTACAGTCATTTCTGGTTGCTGTAGCATTTGAGAGGGACATGTCACGGTGGAAGTTGAGGCTGGACATGGGATTGGTTGCCATTGCTTATTGTGTAAGAGTTCTGATGTTGCATTTTGGTTGGCTTAAGGTTCATTTTGGGGCAACCTTTTTACTGATTTGGTTTTCAAACGGTTGCCGCAGAGCCATTTAGTTATTGTTTCTTGTTGTTTTTAAGAAATTTTTGTTATGCGAAGTTGGTTTTGGAACCAAATTTGCTGGTATGGTAGCTTTAAAAAACATAGGTGTATGATTTTTTAAGAAAAGATTATTTATGATGCTCGTGATGGCTTTCATAAAAATTGTTTTTTTAATAATAGTTTTGTAATTATCTTTACAAAAAAATGAAGTCATCCCAAATATACCCTGAATAAAAAATAAAAAAGATGCAATTAAACACATAAATTAAGCTTAATTAATTTGTTATCTATACATCTTTGGTTAGTTTAGCTTAGATATATATTTGCTTAGGGGAGATTTGAGATCACTTTTATTTTTTTTATTTTTATTTTGTTCTGCTTAGATTTTTATTTGAAATAAAATGTATTTGGTATGTTATAATAATATATTTAGTTATTTTTAAATGTACTCAAAATAAAAATATGTAAGAAAATGCACAAAATAAATATGTATTAAACTGAAATAAGAAAAAGAAATTATTACAAACATGCCTTAGTAATTTACCTAGATATGAATTGCTTATATATCTATATATATTTTTAAGATAATTATTGTAATTTTATGATTACCAATATGCAGGGATTTATTGTTACTGGCGGCTCCTTCTACATGCAATCTTGGTGCATTGACAAGAAAGGCCCTGTATTCCTTGCCATGTCAACTCCTTTGTCTCTAGCTTTCACCATAATTTGCTCATCACTCTACTTAGGGGAGGTGATTTCTTTGGGGAGGTATGCAAATATTTTCTTATGAATCATAGATAAGATAAATATTTTATTCCATGCCTTTGTAAAAATCCTAATGATTAGACTTGAAATAACATTGTTTTAATTCAATGATGAGCATTACTTACATTAGTTTTATTACTAGTTTTAATATTATGCGTGTTGTGGTATATATATATGAAATTTAAAATGATTGGCTTTGACGAAGCTGAAAATGGAACGAGAAAAATTCACACCAGAAAAAAATACAGATTTACGTGGTTTGGCAAATTGCCTACATCCACATAGTATAAGAGAAATAAGTTCTTTCTTTTGTACGTATTTCTTCTTCTTCGGTGATTTTGCCCTTGGGTGAATCTCGGTGTAAAGAGAGAGAAAACAAGTGGGAGATCATGTAATTGTCGACGTGATCAAACAATGTAAATCCCTCAATTAGTAAAATCATCTGCAACTCCGTGGATGTAGGCAATTTTTCGAACCACAGAAATCTATGTTCTTTTCTGTTGTGAATTTTTCTCGTTCCATTTTTTGCTTCGTCAAAGTCGATCGTTTTAAATTTCATATATACCACAACAATGCGCGAAGTAATGTTTTCACTAGCATATTTAATAATTATTTTTGAATGAATTTTAAGTACATTTATTTTAAAAATATAGAATAATTGAAATATGTGCATTTTATAAATATAATAATTATTTGGCTCTTTGTAAATTAAACGAAGAGAAACAGCTTTGTCGTCTGTTATGGTGCATTTCAAATGCCTTGAAATGTGGCACACAACGATTGATGAGAGCAGCAAGTAGTAATAGGCAACAAATAGTGTCAAATAAATATAGTGGTAATAATGCGGAGAAAATATTATGTGTGATCATTCGTACATGTGGATTAGGGGTGTGCATGCTCCAAGTAGACACTGATTACACTCACTCACACTTACTGATCATCCGCATACAATATTTTTTCCATAATTTGGGATATGAAAAATTACTAGATTCTGGGTGAATTCCAAATAAATGAAATAACATAACTTTTAGGATAATTTATTCTGCATTTTATTTATTTCAAATCAAACATATAATAATAATAATAATAATAATAATAATAATGTTAATTCAATTACGTTCCTTAGACTATGCCCAAAAAATAAAACGTGGAAGGGAGATAAAAAAAGAGAGAGGAAAAGAAGAAGAGCAATACTTGCTCCATCGGAGCGAATAAGTATATTTCTGGACTCGTGGACCCATTTTATTCCTGAAAAATTACAAATGGGGAGAGCTTAGAAACCTATTTACAAGAGAGGGCTCTCCTATTTATGAATGATAGGGGGTTAAAAAGTAAATTACAATATTACAATTGATTTAAGAGGAGTAGTACAAGATATTTTAATCTTTTGTATTGTTGTGTTCTGCTAAAATGTCATAATTCAGGGGGAAAAGCCCCTCGTTTGAGTCCTCTGTCGGGGGGAAAAGTCATTCTTTTGAGTCCTCCGTCAGAGGGAAAAGTCTTTTGTCGGTATCCTTCGTCGAGAGGAAAAATATCCCCGTCAGAGTCCTCCGTTCGGAGGAGAAAAGTTTCGTGTCGTAGTCTTCCATGAGAGTCCTCTGTTCAGAAGAAAAAGTCGGTCGAGGGTAGTCAACTCGACGAGAGCAAACATCGAATCACCTTGAGATCCCTGCAAACTTTTTTTATATACATATTAAGTTCCCAAATTTTCTTGCTCCTTAGTAGCGACAATTGGTATAAGGACAAAGAAATTTATAAATCAAATAAATTTTGAACATGTAGTTTGCTAATGATACTCCATGTTAGATGTTTTTCACGCTCGATTTTGGCATCTTTATTGTCATCTGCTGGTGGATATGTTGTTCTGAAGTTTTTATGTCAAGAGGCAAGTCAGATTTCAGTGGCTGGTCGGAGGGAAATGCCAGTCGTCGGAGGAAGAGCTGGTCGTCAGAGAAGAGTTGCTCACCCCGAAGGGAAGTTTTAGAGTTGCTTGTGTTATTGGGATAAGATATAGGATTACATTTATGGGAAGAAATGGGAAGAAACTTCATCTTTGAAGAAACTTCATCTTTTGTTATTGGGGAAAATACCTGAAAGGATGGATGAGGCTGAATGGAATTTGTTGGATCGACAAGTTCTGTGGGTTATTTGATTGACCCTATCTAGGCCGCGATCTCTCGTTCGTGTCCCCCGCTCCCGTTCGCGAGTCTCGTTCGCGAGTCGAGGCGCCAGCCGCTCTTGCCTTCTTCTGTTGAGAAGTGGAGTATCCCTTCGCTCCCTCCTATTCGTGCTAAAAGGCTTCAGATGACTCTCTTTGGGTTTCTAAGTCACGGTTGGTGTTCTTCTTCGGGTTTCATCAGGATAGAAGGAAGAGAAGTGCAAGAGGTAGTTCCTTGCAGGAGAAGAAAGAAGAAAGAAGAAGAAGAAGATTTTCTCCTTTGGCTTCTTCTTGGTGGTTTATGGCAGAAGAGAAATTGAGTTTATTTCTCTTATAAGTTTATCTTCTTCGGTGTATCTCGGTGTAGAGTTTCTTCGGTGTATCTCGGTGTAGAAAGAGAAGAACATAGAGAGAAGAAGAGAGAGCAACGAAGTGAGAGTGAGAGATTCCTCTTGTCAGTCAAGGTGATCGACTGGTGTAAATTCCTCAAGTAGTAAAATCTTCTACAACTCCGTAGACGTCGGCAATTTTCTGAATCACGTAAATTTGTGTGTTACTCTTTTGCGATCGTTCTCCTGTTTGATTTATATATATATATCACATCAATTAGTGTATACTGGTATATCTAGATCTCACAACAACATCTGGTATCAGAGACTTGTTCAGATCTGATGAAGAATGATGGCTGCAGATGAAGTTATGGTTTCAGGGATTGAGAAATTTGATGACACAGATTTTGGTTATTAAAGAACACAGATAGATGATTACCTTTATGGGAAGAAACTTCATCTTCTATTATTGGGAAAAAAGACATGAAAGTAAGGATGAGGCTGAATGGAATATGTTGGATCGACAAGTTCTGCGGGTTATTCAATTGACCCTATTGAGGTCGCGATCTCTAGTTCGCATCTCCCGCTCCAGTGGTCGCGAACCGTAGGCTTCAACCACTCTCGCATTCCTTTGTTGTGAAGCGAAGCATCCCTTCGCTTCCTCCTATTTGTGATAAAAGGCTTCGGATGGCTCTCTTTGTGTTTCTAAGTCACGGTTAGTGTTCTTCCTTGGACTTCCTCAGGATAGAAGGAAGAGAAGTGCAAGAGGTAGTTCATTGTAGTAGAAGGAAGAAGAAGGAAGAAGGAAGAAGAAGAATAATATTGTCCTCCCTTGGCTTCTACTTGGTGGCTTGTGGCAGAAAAGAAATTAGGTTTATTTCTCTTATAATATTATCTTCTTTGGTGCATTTCGATGTAGAGTTTCTTCGGTGTATCTCTGTGTAGAAAGAGAATAACAGAGAGAGAAGAAAAGAGAGTAACGAAGTGAGAGTGAGAGATTCCTCTTCTAAGTCAAGGTGATCGACTGGTATAAATTCCCAAGTACTAAAATTCTCTATAACTCCATGGATGTAAGCAATTTGTCAAACGACATAAATTTGTGTGTTCCGCTGTGGTGTTACTGTTTTCTGGTGTGAATTTTTATCGTTATATTTTTTGCTTCGTCAATCGTTCTCTTGTTTGATTTATATATATATACCACATGAATTGGTGTATAGTGGTATATCTAGATCTCACAACAACAACTGGTATTAGAAGCTTGTTCAGATCTAAGGAAGAATGATGGTTGCAGATGAAGTGATGGTTTCAGGGATCGAGAAATTTAACGACACGGATTTTGTTTATTTGAGAATGCGGATAGAGGATTAATTTTTTGGGAAGAAATTTCATCTTCCGTTATTGAGAAAAAGACATGAAAGGATGGATGAGACTGAATGAAATTTGTAGGATCAACAAGTTCTAGGAGTTATTCGATTGACCCTATCGAGGTCGCGATCTCTCGTTCGCGTCTCCCACTTCAGTTCGCGAACCGTAGGCGCCAACCGCTCCAGCCTTCCTCTGTTGTGAAGCAAAACATCCCTTCGCTTCCTTCTATTTGTGATAAAAAGCTTTGGATGGCTTTTTTTGTGTTTCTAAGTCACGGTTAGTGTTCTTCTTTGAACTTCCTCAGGATAGAAGGAAGATAAGTGCAAGAGGTAGTTCATTGCAGTAGAAGGAAGAAGACAGAAGAAGAAGAAGATTGTCCTCTCTTGGTTTCTTCTTGGTGGCTTATAGCAGAAGAGAAATTAGGTTTATTTCTCTTATAAGTTTATCTTCTTTGGTGTATCTCGGTGTAGAGTTTCTTCGGTGTATCTTGGTGTAGAAAGAGAATAATAGAGAGAGAAGAAGAAAGAGCAACGAAGTGAGAGTGAGAGATTCCTCTTATAAGTCGAGGTGATCGACTGGTATAAAGTACTAAAATTCTCTATAACTCCATGGATGTAAGCAATTTGTCAAACGACATAAATTTGTGTGTTCCGCTGTGGTGTTACTATTTTCTGGTGTGAATTTTTATCGTTATATTTTTCGCTTCGTCAATCGTTCTCTTGTTTGATTTATATATATATATATATATATCACATCAACTGGTGTATAGTGGTATATCTAGATCTCACAACAACAACTGGTATCAGAGGCTTGTTCAGATTTGAGGAAGAATGATGACTGCAGATGAAGTGATGGTTTCAAAGATCGAGAAATTTGATGACACGAATTTTGTTTATTTGAGAATGCAGATAGAGGATTATCTTTATGGGAAGAAACTTCATCTTCCGTTATTGGGAAAAGATCTGAAAGGATGGATGAGACTGAATGAAATTTGTAGAATCAACAAGTTCTAGGAGTTATTTGATTGACCCTATCGAGGTCGTGATCTCTCGTTTGCGTCTCCCGCTCCAGTTCGAGAACCGAGACCCGTGGGCGCCAACCGCTCCCGCCTTCCTCTGTTGTGAAGCAAAGCATCCCTTTGCTTCCTTCTATTCGTGATAAAAGGCTTCGGATGTGTCACTTTGGGTTTCTAAGTTACAGTTGGTGTTCTTCTTCGGGCTTCCTCATGATAGAAGGAAGAGAAGTGAAAGAGGTGTTCCTTGTAGTAGAAGAAAGAAGAAAGAAGAAGAAGAAAATTGTTCTCCCTTGGCTTCTTCTTGGTGGCTTGTGATAGAAGAGAAATTGAGTTTATTTCTCTTATAAGTTTATCTTTTTTGGTGTATCTCGGTGTAAAAAAAGAACAGAGAGAGAGAGAAAGAGAGAGCAACGAAGTGAGAGTGAGAGATTCCTCTAGTGGGAGATTCCTTTTGTAAGTCGGGGTGATCGACTGGTGTAAATTTCTCAAGTAGTAAAATACTTTGAATTTGTCGAACCACGTAAATCTCAGTGTTCCGCTGTGGTGTTACTGTTTTATGGTGTGAATTTTTTTTGTTCTATTTTTCGCTTCATGGATCGTTCTCTTGTTTGATTTATATATATATATATATATATATATACCACATCAACTGGTGTATACTAGTATATCTAGATCTCGAAACAACAGCATGCCCTGGAGGGGAGTCTTGGAGTTGTTGCATCCCTTGTGGAGCTTATCGCTGTTGGTTGTGTTATTTCGGTTTGAGTTCCCCAAGTGTCGGGTAGATTCAGGAATGCTTGAACTTCTTTGAGCCCCTTGGCCTTGATCCTTCACATTGAAATCTGAAAATGATAATACACATATTTCTGCAGGTAAAGATTAATGAGTATTGTATGTGTTTAAAAACACAAGATATAAGAAAGTTTCATTTGGAATCTCATATGACCATAAAACTTTCATAAATATGCGTTATATACATATTTATATGTTTTAACCGAGAGCTGGTGGCCACCTGGAGGCGATTGGAGCAGCGAACAATCATACGGTAGGTTGTCAGCGGGGGGTGATTTGCTGGAAAAGCAAATTGAGGTGTATAAGCAAATATAAAAATAAATATATAAATTGAGTGGTCGGCATGTAAATCTTCAGTGTATTTGTCCATCCTTCATGGTTCGGGTTGGGGGCCGGAACAGCAAGGCGGCCGGCCGGAGTGAGGTCGACGATCGACGGGTAAGTGGCCGATACACATTAAGTGGCATGTAAATGTGTAAATGCACGAATCAAGTGGTACGTATCTAATTTATATGCATATCTTAAAATTCTTAGGTATTTACATATCTAACTCCTAAAATTTCTTGTTTGCATTTATGACACTTTGGTGTCAGATGCATGAATTAGCTAATTCTGCTTTCAAAAATCAAGTAAATTTGATATTTTTTATGTGATGTAAAAAAATTTGAGTGATTTACATGCAAATATAAAAATTTTAAGTGTTAGATACGTTAAAAATTGTGTGGCATGTATGTAAATGCCTTTATATAAGTGTAGATAGAGTCCTGACATATATATATATATATATATACATACATTTTATGGGGCATTTATTGACAAACCACCCAATTCTTGTGTATTTACATATCCAACACCTAAACTTTAGTTTTTATATTAAACCCACACAAACCCAATCACAAAAGAAATATCATCATTTTTAACTTTTAAAAAGGGAATACACCTCTTCATGCAAAAATAAGAAGGTGCATGTATGTAAAAATTGAAGTTTAGGCGTTAGATAATTAAATGCATAAGAATTGAATGGTATGTATGTATATTTTTCTCCTTTTTTTTTTATATTGGCAGAAAATTTCCTAATTGTCATCTTTACATATTATGTATTTTTTGTAGTGTTTTGGGCGGAATCTTGATGGTCGGAGGACTTTATAGCGTCTTATGGAGTAAGAGTAAAGAAGGCGAATGCAGGTCTTCGGATGAAAGCACCAAAGAATGTGATGGAAATAAGGAAGTCGCGTCAACAGTACAAAACTTAATTTAGCTTTATTATAATGTTCATATGCTGTTGATGAACAATATCCATAATGAGAAAAATAATAATAAAGCATCAATTATTGGTATTATTAGTCGTGCAGGGTTAATGTGTTTTTTTTTTTTTTTTTTTGAATATGCCTGACAAAAAATTGCTAAAAAGGAGAAAATATTAGATCTATACATGATATGTTTGAATAACGGTGTGAATCGCACCACGCCGCTGAGCACAGGGGCATAATGTGATCCACACCATCGTCCGGATAAACAAATAATATTTTCTCTTAAAAAATGGTGGTACCATGCACCAAAAGAAAAGGGTGTACTAGTTATCTGATTATTCGGCTTTTGCCAACCTAATTGTGATAAAGAAAATTTTGGATATGATTGCTTCTTCGAAATTATTTATATTTCCAATAAGGCAAATAATATGAATACAAAATTTGATAAATTGTACCGTATTTTATGAATTAAAAAGTGCAAGCTAATATGATTCAAGAAAAAAAAATGTCTTTTTCAAATTTGTCCGTGAGACACAATTAAACAATATATCATGTCCGAAAGGAAGAAAGGGCAGAGCTTAGTAGTGAGCAGCAAAATTGCAAAATTGCGTGATCTTTATTCAACCCCCTATTTATAGAAATGGGAGTGAGCAATTACATGATGTACCCCTAGAGTAAATAGGTAAGACGAGGGTATTTTGGTCAGCACATAAATATAGGGTCGGGAGCCTAAAATGGCACCCTGCCTGATGGGGCTGAAGTCTGAAATGACACCTAGCTTGATGGGGTCGAGAGTCTGAGATGGCTTCCGATCGAATGGAGCTGAGAATCTAAGATGCCTTCCTGTTGTATGGGGCCCTTGATGGTTCCAGTTCGGCTTTTATGGGCCCGACGACCATACATTGGAGTCTTGAGGGAATTGCCTGTAGCCCGTCCTGGTTAGAGAAAGTTGTTAATTTCATTAGCATGATTCTTGTATCTGTTAACTTTAGAAGGGTGGTTGAATTTTTTTCATCTTAGGATTATCTTCCTCGTGACCTATAAGTGTCAGACAACTAGACATGAGTTTTTTTGTTGTCCCTAATGGGCCCCATGCATCACATCTTCTCATCTATCAATCATTAGATCTCTTTAAGATTCGTGCTTACATATTTTTATGTACATATTTAAGTTCCCCGATTATTTTGCTTCTTGAGAGTAACAACTATGATAAGGACAAGGGAATTTGCTTTTCAAAAATGTTAAATGTATTCATGACTATTAAATGCACAATAATTGACTATCTCTGGATTTACGTGTGAGGATCTCTATAAATAAAAAAAAGTGAGAGGAGTGACTCATTCACGTGTCTCTTTGGACTAATCTCTCATTTTAGTCTTTGTGTTGATACCATCAAAGGTGCCAGACACAAATGACCAAGGGGTTGTATTCTACTAATAGACCCAAAGCATTCCTCCACTTCAACCAACTTAATCGTATTCTACTAATAACATCCCTTTCTACATTACCATCACCTAGAGCACTAGATCTGAGATATCTAAGGCATTTGCACCTTAGATCTATCCACAAGAAGGATATCGACAACAAAAAACATAAATAAAGGTACATGCTCATGTAAATGTCCAGTAAGAGCATCAGAGCAGGTGAGTCACCGAAGCTGGAGTCGCCAGAGTTGTGGTTATTGGAGCTACAGTTGTTGGGGCGCTGAAGTCACCGGAGATGGGAGGAGAGGGTTAAGGCACGAGGGAGAGGGAGAGGGAGAGAGAGAGACTGAGAGGGATTGGGGATAAGGTTAGCGAATTTCGACTGTATAAAGGATTATTTCCAACAGCTTACAAACGGCTTTAACTTTGTATGTTATTAAGATTAATACCCATAGCATTGACCGCCAGTTACTAAAAAGACTCGTTGGATAACGCCCGTCAAATAACGAGTTTGTAAATAACTGACGATATATGACGATCGGTTATTATGTGCTTGTAAACAATGATGAAATAAGTCAGTTATAATAAAAATCATTAGAAACTAATCAACTGTTCATAAGCGACGGTATGTCATGTTGTTATACCGTCGGAATAACTCAATACATAAGACGTCGTAAAACTATAAGAAAATAAGACATTTTTACCTATGAAAATTTAAGCCGTCAGTTTTGCTGTGGGCTATAGTGTTTTCCCCAATTGTGAGGGAAACAATCGGGAAATTAGGGCAAATGAGAGGAGAAGCCATGCAAACTTGGGTCTCAATGAGTTGAAGCGAAATTAAGGGCCCGTTTGGGGCAGCTTATAAGTGCGGTGGCGTTTTTGAAAACGCCGCCGCATCGTTTATTTTACGCGTTTGCGCAGCTTATTTTATAATCCCATTTTTGATTTGGAGAAAAGCTAGTCGTGGGTCGATACCCGCGATCAGCGTTCGAAACGCGCGATTGTGGAATATTTTACGCGCACACCCTTCGTCGTCTCTTCTCCTCGTCGTCCTCTGCTACCAGTGTTCCACTCCTCTGGAGTCCCGCTAACGAAGAACTTAGCGGAGAATCAACCGTCGAGAACCTCTCATGAGGCCGAGGCAGCTCCGACCAACTTGGCGGTGGAAAAGAGGAGATCCGGAGATCCGCTTCTACCCGACCGCTGTCGCTTCTCTTCGCCTCCCTTCGGGCTTCCGGCTTTCCGCCACCTCCGGTCAACTCGACCGCTACAACGTTTCTTCCGCTGGTGACAGTGACAATGGCGCAAATGTTGAGGTGGGCATCTCATGCGGATTGTTTCACTCGTCACTTTTGGTGGATGGGAGGTTCTGGATATGGGGAAAGGGGGATGGAGGGAGGCTGGCTTCGGACATGAGAACCCGGTCTTTGTTCCGACTCCGAATCCTAACCTTGATGAGGTCCGTTGCATCGCCCTGGGTGGCATTCATTCCATCGCGCTCACCCGTTCCGGCGAGGTTTTCACATGGTAGTTCTTATGCCATTACACTTGTCTGTAGAGTTTCTTATCGATCATTGGTCATTACTTGAAAACTTTTTTTTTAGCTAAACAGAAAAAGGGGCTATTGTCTTAAGCATGAAGCAAGAGTTTTACTGAGTTTGCTTGTCATAATAACAACTTCGAGCTCACCCGTTCCGGCGATACTGTTAAGCAAATTTGCATGGGGTTACAGATAATTTAAAATTTAAATTATTGATTAGAGCAAATTATAAATTATTGATTACAATTTAAGTTACAGATAATTTAAATTTTTCTTAAAAAAAATATCTACTAAAAGTTACAGATAAGATGTTTTATAAACGCACATAACAAACAACTAAACAGTTTATCCATAACAGGGGCAAAATAGTCATTTATCCAGAATCAGTTATTTTCCAAACGCACAAACCAAACAGTCAGCCAGCTTATCCAGATCAGCTGCTCATCAGCAGATTATCAAGATAAGCTGCTTATCAGCAGAAGCTGGATAAGCTGAAGCTGCACCAAAGAGACCCTAAATAGGCTACGTAAGCGCTTATAAATGCTGTCAGATCTTTACATATAACAACACTTATGAGCATTACCGTAAAGTGGCCAATGACATACTAATAAAAGTGCTGCTACACACCACTTAATTTGCCATATATTTACATATATAACACATAAACTTCATTTTTTTTACAAATATACCACCTTACCTATACATAAAAAGCTGTATTTCCTTTTATAAAAGTTAAAATATTTTTATTTTTAATGTAATACAAAAAGTTTGTGTGGTATAGATGTAAAAAGTAAATTTTGATATTAGATATATAAATTCATAAAATGATCTACACACACATACATACATACATACATCTCTCTCTCTCTCTCTCTCTATATATATATATATGTGGGTGTGTGGGTGTGTGGGTGTGTGTGCTGTGTTTAGATATATATATATATATGTGTGTGTGTGTGTGCCCCCAATTAATTTTAGAAATATGTATGTGTGGATGCCTGTGTAAAAATTGAAGTTTAGGTGTTAGATATTTAAATACATAAGAATTGAGTGGTATGCATATAAATCTTCATTTAAAATTTGGCAAGAAGATTTACATACATAACGCTCATTTCAATATAATTACATATTTAATATCTAAATTTCAACTTTTACATGCATACTGCCTTATTTATGCAAAACATATGTAATTCACTTTTCAAAATTTAGAATAATATTATTTTTATGTGGTTCTTAGAGGAAGATATTTAACACAGACGGATGAGCCATTTTGATAAATTTTTCAATGAACTTTCTGAAAATACGATCGATCTTAATGATATTTATATCATTAATAATAATATATATATTTTTTATTTTTACCACCACATTAGTACAACGGAAGTTGAGGAGGCCTTAAAAAAAACCAATTATGGAAAATCAGTAGAACCTAATGATAGCCCAATTGAAGTGTAGAAATATCGAGGAGATTTGAGAGTATCTTGGCTTACTAAACTTTTAAATATTATTTTAAAAACTAAAAAAGATGTCTGATGAGTGAAGAAAAAATATTTTACTCCCCCTGTTTAAAAATAAAGATGATGCATAAGAGTATACAAATTATAGAGGGATTAAGTTAAAGTGTCGTACTTTAAAATTGTGAGAGAGTGTAATTGAACACAAATTAAGACGTAATAAAAATATTTCTCATAATCAATTTGGATTTATGTCGCACAAATCTAGTTTGACGTAGAAATGCATAGATACTAAGGAGAATCTATATATGTTTGTATTGATTTAGAAAAAGTTCACAATAAGGTTCCGAGAGACAAGTTCTTTAGAGTTGTAAAAAAGAAAAGTATTGATATGACTTATATTTAAGTCATTAATGTTATGTATACCATACATGTTACTTATGTTCGAACATAATGAGAATTGACCAAGTATTTTTCTATTTCAATTGGATTACATTAGGAATCGGCTTTAAGCCCATTTCTTTTTTGCTTTAGTTATGGATGCTCTTACTAGACATTTATAGTAGGATGTACCCTCATGTATGCTTTTTTGCTGATGACATCCTTCTTGTGGATAAGATTAAAAAAATAGTTCATGAAAAAACTTGCACTATAGACCTCTACATTGGAGTCTAAAGGCTTTAATTTGAGTAGATCTAAAACTAAATACATGAAATATAATTTTAGTAGTAGTAGCTCTAGTGGCATAGTTGTAACTATGAGTGATCAAATCATTGAAATATGTGAACGATTTAAATATCTCGGGTTTATTGTTCAAAGTGATGGTGATATAGATGGGGATGTTATCAGCAGAATTCTGGTTGGTTGGTTAAAGTGGAGGAATGCATAAGGCCTATTGTGTGATAGAAAAGTGCCACTTAGACTTGAAAGGAAAACTTATAAGATGGTGGTGATACATGCAATACCTTATGACGCAAAATATTGGCGATTAAAAGAGAAGCATAGAGCAAAGTTAAGTGGTGCTGATGAGAACGCTTAGGTGGATGAGTGACTTGACACTTAAATACAAAAATGTGAAACAAATCTATGAGTGAAAGGATTGGTGTAGCTCCAGTGACACACAAGATTAGAAAGGGTCGTCTTAGATGGTTTAGTCACATTAAATGTCGACCATTTGCTGATCCAGTTTGGGTAGTAGATGTTTTAGATTCTACTTATACTTAGAAAGATAGAGGTAGATCTAAAAATACTTGAGCATATTTGTATAAAAAATGATCTTAATTAATTAGAATTAAATTAAAATATGGCACTTAATAGGACACAGAATAAAAAAGATTAATGTAGCGGACCTCACTCAAGTGGGATAAAATCTGGTTGCGGTTGTTGTTGTATAAAAGATTAGGGTGATATAAATGTAAGAAGCAAAGTTTGTCTTTCATATGTAAATACATAATAATTGGGTGGTATGTTTGCAAACAACACAAATTTGTGAATTCCACTCCACCGAAACCATCGGCTACCTTCCCGGCTCCCCTCATCGGCGGGATTACGGCGCTGTGTTCGAAATCGCGGCCTTCCTCCCCCTTGCACTCCTACCCAGAAACATCGAGAAAAATGAAGCGAGGAGTAGCGACGGGCATTGCAAGTGAAGTTTTCTATGGGTGTTGAATGCGTCTAACTCTCGGATTTACTCTGAAACGGAGGTAAAATGGGATTCAAGCTTCCGTAGGCAAGTTATCTATTTGAATCGTTTGGCAGGGCTTACGCTGAAGATGAATGTGGGCTGAGGTCGATCATTCTACTTAAACACTCGTCCTTGCTCTCCTTTCCTCTCAAGCCACCATCTCCCATCGTAGAGATCCCGCCGGTGAAGCCCGGAAAAGGTCGAACGGCATGAAGAAAATAGAAGAGGGAGAACCTATCTTAGCTCCTTTCTGATGCCCTCTGCTTTCCACGCAAATATTTCTGGTTACGATTTTATCTTGTCGAAATGCAAGGACCTTTATTGAAGGCAGGGACCAGGCTGAGCAGTTCCCTTTTCTTACCGTGCAGTCACGCCCTTTTTCATTCAACACCGGTATCCTTCGCCAAATGGAAGGTGAGATCTGATGCCAAGGTCATTTTCTTCCAAAAATTTCTGTTTCCAATTCGTTCTACCATTTTTCATTAGGAGGCTTTTTGTCGATAGGCATTACCTGACTTGTTTAGTTGTTTTATGTATTTGGATTGGCTCATCTGTTTTTTTGTGTTAATGAGTATAACCACTGGATTATCTGGTCCTAATTATACTATGCGGATCATGTTTAATCATGGAATTTACCCTTGCGCTTAAGGAAGAAAAATTGGCAAAACTTTGATTGGTTCTGCTCATATTTCTCTTTTTACGAAGTTAACAGGGCCGGTGTTGTTTTTTGTATTTTTTTTTTTCTTAAATTTATTGAGAAGCTGTGTGGGAGATTCTGTGCTATAGATTTCTGTAAAATTAATGCTATAAGGAAGAACTTTAGCAAGAGAAAGAAACACTCCGAGTTAAAAATGGAAACTTTGATCTGGAAAAATCTTTTTCTTATTTTGTATTAGATTCGTGAAAAGATTAAAATTTGTGGTATTGGATCATAAAGATTTTATAATTTTCAATAAATTTATAAAATCATTCCCTACTGTAATGTTGGCTGTCTTTTAGTGCAAGCTTCATTAGATGGAGGATTTAGAAGTGAGCGCTTGAGAAGAGAAATGCAGCAATGGCTAGTTTGTCCCTTTATGATTTGTTTGATCGCAATTGAAGTTTGGAGACAACTGCTTTAGTGTACTTAATTGGGTTATTTATATTGATCCATCCCTATATTCTATATTCATGGGAAATTCATAGACTAGGATTGATCATTTTGATTGAAGGTAACTTTGGAGAAAACTGCATGAATTATGTTTTAGTTATACTTAACAATCATATAAAAAAAGGGAAATTTACTTACCACCCCATTCTTATTTATTTACATATCTAACACCCAAAGTTTGATATTTACACTTATAACATTTTGGTGTCATAAATTTATACATGACAATGTGTAATTCACTTTTAAAAGGTAGTGAAAGTGGTGTTTTTGATGTGATTTTAAAGATGCAAGTCATTTGTTTGTATATATGAATGTTTAGTTGTTTGATTTGTAAATACATAAAAATTGTATGGTATGCATGTGAATGCCCCATATGAAAGAAAAGAAAAGTAAATCTGGCATTTCATAGCCTGCCTTTGTTCTGTCCAATAGTTTATTATGCAGAATTGAAAATTTTTAGTTAGGTAAATGGTTTTTTTTTTCGAAACACAGGAAGAATGGTTATTGCCAATTGAAAGGTCTTCCACTGGTTAGGAGGATTTTGTTCATGCTAACACTATCACTGTCGGTCCCAAGTCCGGATGTGAAAAGTGGAGGGTTGCGTTAGGTAGTCGAGAACCAGCTTAAAACTTTTTGAAAAAATCATGACATGAATCATTTTAATCATTATGTAAGTACTAGGGCATCCCCTGGAAACAACATATTGTATGACCTGAATACAATGAAAAGTGTGCAAGAGCCGCTGCACCGACGCCCAGGTGTAGTGGAAGTTAGTCTATACAATAAGCAAGAGTTTCCACATTATGGACAGATGCAGACAAAGAAGTTAGTCTATAAAATTAATAAAACATAATTTGGATGAGATCTTAGAATATAGGTACTCTCAATGGTAAATTAATGAAATTAATTGATATTATGATTTATAGAAAGATTAATATCTTGTGTATTTAAGAAATTAAATGGGTTAGAGAAAAGACTAAGGAGATTGATAACTTAGGTTTTAATTTTTGGTATTCTGGTAAGAGTCACACTAGAAATTGTTAGTTGCAATTATAAATAATTGTTTGAAAGATACTGTTGTAAAAATTAATAGAGTTGGAGATAGAATTATAACTCTTATAGATTAATAGAGTTGGAGATAGAATTATAACTCTTAAAATTAATATTGATCCTAAAATTTCTAATATTATAAGTGCTTATGCTCCTCAAGTAGGTTTAGATATGGGTTCTAAAGATAAATTCTTGAATGACTTAGGAGACTTAATATAATTGATACCTCTTGAAGAAATAATTTTTATTGAAGGAAATTTAAATGGACATGTCAGTAGAGTGGTATAAGATTTCAGAAATATTCATGATGACTACTGTTTTGGAGTGACTAATGAAGAAGGTAGAACCATTTTATTTTTCGCTTTAGCATATGATTTTCTTATTACTAATACTTTATTCAAGAAAAAAGACGAGCATCTTATTACTTACAAGAATCGAGCTAATAAAATACAAATTGATTATTTTCTTGTGAGAAGATTAGATCGTGGAGATTGTAAAGATTTTAAGGTCATTCTTAGTGAGGATTTAAGTCCCTAACATCAATTATTAGTTCTAAATTTTAAGATGAAGAGTTGTAAAATGAAGAATACTATGTCTCATCATCGTAAAATTAAATGGGGGAACTTAAAAGACATGAATAAAATTATTTTTATGAGTAAAATTTAATATTTTAAAATTTGGGATGTTCATGAAGAAGCAAATGCTATGCGGGATAAAGTAACAAACACGATCAAACAAGTAACAAAAACTGTACATGTAGATTTAAAAGAAAATGTTTCTATAAATAAAATATTTGGCGGTGGAATATTAATGTGCAAGAGAAAATAAAATATAAAAAGTTATGTTATAAAAATTGGTTTAAATCTAAAAGCTTAGAGAAGTTGGAAAAATAGCAAACGACTCTCAGTGAGTCTAAAAGAACAATCTGTGACGCTAAAAGTTCTGCATTTAGTGATCTTTATAATAAATTAGATACTAAGGATGGTGAAAAATATATGTATAAACTCGCCAAACAAAAAGAAAAAAGAACTAAAGATTAAGATGAAAATAAAAAAAGTGCTATTCTTATAAAAAGATATTTAACATAGATGAGTGAGTTATTTTAATGAACTTTTTAATGAAGTTTCTGAAGATACGATCGACCTTAGTGATCTTAATATCGTTAATAATAATAAAATATTTTATTTTTACCGTCGCATTAATAAAAAAGAAGTCGAGGAAACCTTAAAAAAAGTCAAGGGTGGAAAGTCTGTAGGATCTGATGATATTCCAATTGAAGTTTGGAAATATTTAGGAGATTTGAGAGTTTCTTGGCTTACTAAACTATTTAATATTATTTTAAAAACTAAAAAGAAGCATGAGGAGTGGAGGAAGAGTATTTTGGTTCCCATTTTTAAGAATAAAGGGGATGCACAAGAGTATGCAAATTGTAGTGGAATTATGTTGATGTGTCATACTTTAAAATTATGGGAGAGGGTAATTGAATAGGGGTTAAGACATATTACAAAAATTTCTCATAATCAATTTGGATTTATGCCTGGCAGGTCTACTATGGAAGCTATACATTTATTGAGAGGTTTGATGGAAAAGTTTAGAGATATTAAGGAGGATCTACATTTGATTTTTATTGATTTAGAAAAAGCTTACGATAAGGTTCCAAGAGATATCCTTTGGAGAGTTCTCGAGAAGAAATGTGTTGATATGACTTATATTCAAAGAGCTGTTACTTGTGTTTCTAGAGCTGTTACTTGTGTTTGAATTGAAGGAGGATTAACCAAATATTTTCCTATTTTCGTTGGATTGCATCAGGGATTGACTTTAAGCCCATATCTATTTGCTTTAGTTTTGGATGGTCTTACTGGACATTTACATGAGGATGTACTTTGGTGTATGTTTTTTGCTAATGATATCCTTCTCGATCCTTCTCGGAGAGAAAAAGCCCAAGAAAAACTTGAATTATGGAGGTCTACATTGGAGTCTAAAGAACTAAATTTGAGTAGAACTAAAATTAAATACATGGAATGTAATTTTAGCAGTAGTAGCTCTAGTGCAGAAGTTTAACTTTGGGTGATCAAATTATTAAAAGAGGTGAACGATTTAGATATCCTGGGTCTATTGTTCAAAGCGATGGTGATATAGATCGGATGTTAATAGTAGAACCCAATATGGTTGGTTGAAGTGGAGGGATGCTTCGGTGAAGTGGAGGAATGCTTCGTTGTGTGATAGAAAAAGAAAATTACCGCTTAGACTGAAAGTAAAATTTTATAAGATTGTGATGAGACCTGCAATGCTCTATGGTGCTGAATGGTTGGCCTTTAAAAGAGAAGCATAATACTAAGTTAATTGTTGCCGAGATGAGAATGATTAGGTGGATGATGAGTGACTTTACACTGTGACTTTACACTTAGACAAAATGCGAAATGAATATATTCGTGATAGGGTTGGTGTAGCTCCAATGACGGACAAAATTAGAGAAAGTCATCTTAGATGGTTTGGTCACATTATACTTCGGTCATCTGATGATCTTATTAGGAGAATAGATGTTTTAGATTCGACTTATGTTAAGAAAGGCAGAGGTAGACTTTGGAAGACTTGGGCTTATTGTATAAAAAATGATCTTAATTTATTAGAACTAAATGAAAATATGACACTAAATAGGACACAATGGAGAAAAAGTATTCATGTAGCTGACCCTACGTAGTGGGATTAATGCTTTGTTGTTGTTGTTGTTGTATCCAAATGATTCGCTATTGAATAAAGAATTTGATTCTCTTGCTCACAAAATCTAATTTTTCTTTCATACAAGTTCACTTACAATTTTGTTATGCAAGGTAATAAATTTCTTTTGATAGTTAGCACCTCTTATATGTTTATGGAAGTTAATATACTCATGGCTATCAGTTCATCGCTATCTACTATGGGCTAGCAGCTTCAATATATTGGGAGTTTAGGTTATAGACGAATATTAAAGTTTTGCCTTGTTATTGAAAAGATTTTATTGAAATTTATTGAATATATTTAAAAGCATTATGCTTTGTAATTTCTCTATGATATTTTTATCAATGGAATGATAAGATGGTAGGAAGTTTTAAATAAATTTATAGAAATTGTCTGATATATGCTTTGGATTGAGTAGTGCTGTTGTTTCTTGTGGTTTGTTCTTTTATACCTACAATTTTTTAAATAATGTTCTTATTTATTAAATTAAGATTTT